AAAACTGATATAGAAGTCAATTTTAATCAAAGATTTTTTTTTTCTTTATAGATATTTCTACATGCATTCTTTTGAATTAAATCTAAAAAAAAAAGGTCTTAGAGGAGTATTCATACAAAATTATTTTAGTAGCTGCTATACCTCTACAAACATGCAGCAAGGTTATTCTGAATTTTAAAATTCATAGAATTGCACTTTAAGTTCATCTCTAAAATTCTATACATGCTTGGTAAGATCCAGAAAAGTTAAGATGAGTTAAAACATTCCCTCTGAGGCTTATAATGGAGGCCAGCTGTTGAGTTCAGATCAAATAAGAGGCATGTCCTTGGTTGATGTGCTTAACAGCTGGCTTTTATTTAACATACCAAATTTCACCTTGAACTTTGTAAGAACAATATCCCTTATTTGATTTAACATGCGATTTACATGATTTAGTAAAAAATAGTTTGGTATATTTGTGTGTACTCCAAACCCTTTGATCACATTTTTAAGTCATGATATTTAGATATTTTAAAAGATTAATACAGAGGGATAAGAACCCAGCAATGAAAAAAAAGATAAATAACATGGATCATTAATAAGTTAAAATAATGTATTGCCGCCACAATACAGCCAGGCTGTATAGTATGGTCGGAAAAATCAATTCACTATCACATCACTTCTCCTGTTAATTATGATCATCTACTTTTAAAAGTATTCACTCAAGAAGAGCATCTGCTTGATAAGACTGAATGCAGGTCTTATCTTACTGACGGTGGAAATAGTTTCCCAGCGTTCTCGCACACCTCGCTCTAGCTGGTACAACTTCACAAGATGTTTTCCACAATCATGGTCAAAACAAGTAAACAAAACAAGCCAGTAATGTACCAAACAGGAGATATGCATAGTGTAGAGCAGATGTAGATTTGACCAATCAGAGGGCCCTGTCTGCGGCACTTTCTGCCGTCACCTACAATTTGATAGAGGTGTAGTAGAGTGTCTGCGGAGGGGGCGGGACGTCTCTGCGTTCACCACGACACCTACACAGATGACCTAGTTTCGAAGTATAAATCAGCAGGAAATATTAGTCAGTGGATGTACTAACCAAAAAATCCATATATACGTCGATATATCCCACAGTATAGTATGTAGCGTAATATTATTCTGGCTATTTCACCCCGACTCGAGGACATTGACTGAGTAAGACATTGACATTGTGTCTAACGTTACAAAATAGAAAGTAGAGTAAATAGAAAGTAATTCACTGTGAAAAGTCAATGTAGTATTTTTTGATTAAATGGATGATGCTGTAGTTTCTAGTTTTTTGGTATACTTCTCATTTGAAAAAGTAATGTGCTGAAATATATTGCATGTTATACTGACGGAAAAAATAAATTATATTTGAATGTGAATTCACACTACATGTATAACTAGTAACACACGCAGAATCTCACACAATTAGAGCGGGTCCACCTAGGGGTGTAAATCACACACAACATGGCGATTCGATTCAGTATTGATTTCCTGACCCAACGATTTGATTATTTTCGATACTTAAGAATACACCACGATTCGATTTCGATTCGATTCGATTAATCGATTAATTAATTAATTAATTTTTCTTTCTTAGACCTTACAGGCTAAACAAAGTTTCAAGTGTGAAATAAATCAATGAAAGCTGTAATATGCATTTTTTTTTTAGAAACAACAGCAAATAACAGAAGTAGAAAAGTTGCATCAAAAAATACTGCACAAAATCAGTGCAATGAGTGCAATTCAATACCTCCGCTCCAGACGTCCCCGCCCCCTCTGCAGACGCTCCGCTGCACCTCTCCCAAATTGTAGCTGACCGCAGACAGTGCCGCAGACAGGAGGCCAGCTTGTTTTGTTTTTATGACCAAAATTGCGGAAAACAACTCGTGAAGTTTGACCCGCTAGAAAAGCACGCTGGGAGCCTTTTTCCACCTGGATCTCCGCTCTTTTTGGCCCTCATGTCCCTCCGTCGTCGGACTAAACTCGCCCCCATTTCCTCGCCACCTCGGCCGTATCTAGACACACAGTGTGTAGCACAGATCACGCTTCAATATTGAGCATAATTTAAAAATGTCTGTGTCAAGCTTACTGCAACAAACAACTGTAAGAGTATAACCAGGAAGCGAGGTAGGAGGGCAAAATAGGCTTAGCGCCACCGCAGCATGGGAGGGAGAATTGCGCCCAGGAGCAAATGCGTAAAAATAGACCGGAGGAAAAAAAAAACATGATTCGATTATTTTGCGGACGTGTTGATGCATCGGATCGTCGGCTGTTGGATCGATGCATCGATACAAAACGATTATTATTTACGTCCACCTCACTTTTGCTCCTGTTACCAGCTGAAATCTTAGATCACCTTCTACACACCAACAAATATCAAGTGCAATTTCCTGCTTGCAGAAATAGTTTAGTGCTCTTCATTTGCAATGTTATCGTAATATGAGCCAGAGAAACAGATGAGGAGCACAGAGAGACTGAATATTAAAGACTTTAACATGAATACAGTTGATATGAGAAAACAATGAACTAACTAAGAAACCAAAACACCACTGAATCAACTAAGAAGGGACATCCTTATGAAAATAAGCATCAAGTCTATGAAGAAATCAAAATATTAGCCTGCAAGGATCATGAAAACACTTACCAACACAACAGTTGCTACTTCAGGTTTTCTCTCCTCTTTCACCTTTATTGTGAAGAAATCCTTATGTCAGTTTTGTTATTTGGAAAAATACCTTTGTTGAAGTTATCCATGTAGTAAAGCTTATTATTCAACTTCATTGTAGTGGTACAATGATATTAAAGACATTTTATTATGATGTATTCTAATCTCTATTCTGAAATTACTCCAAAAAATGAAGAATATCTATAAAAATACTCAAACTCTTTTTCTTTTAAAATTCAAATAGGACTCAAAGAGCAGCGGTTTTAAGCATGAAAATTGTCTACTTGTGTAAACATAAGCTCTGTTAAACGAGCTCTTGTTTGATGTCTGACACAGTGCACAGTCAGGATGAAGCACTTAATGGGCTACAAACCAGAACATGATCTCCCTGTTATCTGAGACTGCAGTTTCCTTTATTTGAACTGATAGAGACAGCAGATGGATGACCTCTGGCTCTGCCACTGCGAACATTAAACTGCCTCGGAAACAGAGTCGCCACCAGTCAGCAGGATGTTGATAGTATTGGGCTCTCCTACAGGCCCGTGCAGAGAGCCGCTCTCATCAACACCAGTATTAAATGCTGACATGGAAAGCTGAGCCACCCGGATCACTGTAAAGTGTCTTAAGGGAATGAGCGGTATGCGCTTTCACTGTTTTGTTATGGTCCATAGTCAGTGATTGATGTTCAGGCATAAAGGGCGCGGCTATTTTGCACAATGTAGGAGGAGGGCTTTGGATCTCCAAACATTATATTATGAAAATGTTACCTGTTACCTGTCCAGGGACCATTCAGCTTCTTCCCCAGTGACTATATGAATAATATCCAAGATGAAAATTTGTACATAAAAGGCTTTAAGCAAATATCAAAATGCTAAAACAGTTTTTTTCTTGTCGCCAAATCAATGAATGTACTGTATATATCCCATTTCTAAACAGTATTAACAAGCATAGCAACTGTGAATAATTACAGTAAAAACATTCCGTAAAAATTCAAAAAATATCCACTGGACTTGGTTTTCAAGATTTGAAGACGTTTCGCCACCTCTCCAGGAAGCTTTCACAATTCAAATGTCTTATGGAATGACGATGACCTGGATGACTGAGAACCTTCATCTACAGTAAAAACAGTTAAAAATATACACCTGGTGCGAATAAAGTTGTTTTTCCCACATTTGATCATGTTTTAACATTAGAATTGAATTTGTCTTATTAGATTTTATTGTGTTTCAGCAAAACATCGAAGTCCAGAGGAAGGAGAGGGCTTTTTTTTTTTTTTCTATTTACAGACTAAGGACAGATTTATCATTTGCTGCAGTTACGGTTAAGAGTCCTTTGGGGTATGTATCTACCAGCTTTGCATATCTAGAGACTGGCTTTTCAGCTTACAGTATCAATCTTTGAAGAATAGTTTTGGTTTACTCAGATTGGGGTGAAGTGCATATGTGAGCCACAATTTCTCGAGTCTCGTAGCAAATATTCTGTATTTGATTTATGTCTAGACTTTGACTGGATTATTCTAACTAATGGATATACTTTGTTTTGAATCTGTTTTTCAAAGCGTAACATTATATTTAGCAAAGTTATTAGTGTTATGTTTCTCCCCTTTTGGACTTTTATTTGAGTTTCTTTTTGGGTTTTCCGTTATCTATGTCATTCTGTTTTGATCTTTGGTTTCTTTTCCATTTTGTCATATTTAAGCTGTGTCGCATTTTTTTTGTTACTCTCTGTTGCCACTTTGTGCCAGTCTCCTTTTCCCTGAGACAAAGTGCTTCGGTTTGTGTTTACCACTTGTCCCTTATTCTTTCTTCTGATTTGTAATGCTTCAATTTAAACATTAATTTGCAACTTTGCTTTACTTACTATCCCGGGTTTGTTTGTGTTAGCATTATGTTGCATTTTCCATCTATTTATGTTTAGGTTAAAGCTATTACTTCTGGATTATTGGATGAAATTGTTTATTTTGTTTCAAAGTAAATTCATGGTATTTGTTTTCCTCTTTACTCACCATTGTTTGTTTAAGTATTTCCTACTAAACTGACTAGATGATGTCATCCTTTACCTTGTTGGGTTCTACCATTTAGGGTTTCCTTTGGAGTTATGCTTTGTATTTTTTACTTTAAGGAAACTTTTTCAGTTATCTTGTATCACATTGTTTATTTTGCAGACTCTTTCTTTATGTAGATGAGTTTGTAAATTAGATTAATTTAATTCTTGTTTCTAATTGGAGATGATGTAAAGCTTTATTAAGGTATACCTCAGAGGAATACTATTCATTATTCGAGGCATGGTGAAAAAGACAACGTTAATAAAAAAAAAGCATATCTCTTGGAAAATATTCTTTATTCAAAGCAGCTGCAAGCAAACACTACTTCCACCTTAGAAATTAGCAAGAAAAGCAAAAACCAAGACCAAACAGATTCACATATTTCATCATGACAGCATTTGACAGTTGTAGATTTAGCTTGCAATTCCAAGAAGTTAAGAAAAAAAAAGGATGTATACAACCACAAGGCTTGTGTTTGTACTGGTGAGTCACAATAAAAAGCAAATTATTCATTCAGGGACGCGGTCGTCCTTAAAAGTGCAAATGAGCAAACATTTCATTTCTACGATCAAAGGTAGCAATTTATTTTGCATGTCCACAACATAAACAGACACACTAATTACCCTCTCATAGAAGCGAATGCAAACACACAGAGTCAGTGCTCCGTTCTCATGAAACAAGGAAACAGATTTTCATAAAATAATAAGCAGGAAATAAAATGAACCCCAATATGATGTTTCTATGTCGAATACAAAGTGGGCAGCTGTAGAGCTGCATTCACAAGCTTAAATCTTTAATTTATGCCAAAATAGTCAAATTTATTGAAAAACTAGTTCACTTGTAGACATTCCTTCTGCCCCAAGCCAGACATATTGCCTTGAAAACTATACAAAACATTAACATCTATTAAAAATATATAGCTGAAAGAGAAATGCTGTTTTCATGCAACAACATTTAGCTTTCTGAACAGCCTAACAACACAGCAGAGAAAGAAAAAGCAGAGCTGTTTGTAACTCATTTATATATTGATTAAACTCTAAAATCCGGATCGGTCTTGTTCCTCAGTCAGATTCATAAATAGAGCTGTAAAGAAACCATCTTTGGCCCAAATTATCTAGGGCTAGTCCTATTTTCTAAGAACAAAAAAAAGGAGCTCTGCACACCATCTGTGACAGAAGGGGGATAACGAGGCCTGATAGAGGCAGTAATCAGTTCATCAGCGGTTTGCACCCAAACACTCTCTGTGAGATCTGAATGTGAGGATCAGACCAAGGCTTTCTCTGCATTCTTTGTTTAGCAGCGATCAATGTATCTTTATAGAAATCTAAAATTATATGGATGTTATCAGGTTTATTGGCTTGCATACAAGTAGATATCTACTGAATAATGGAAACAAATATTTTTTCACATGAAATGAGTCATGGTGAAAAACAAATTCCAAGAGCAAAAAAATGTGTTGTAAAAAACAAATACAAAAATCTGACCAATTAACTCACAAGTTGGACAAGTGTGTCGAAAAAGCCAGACTGAGGAAAAATTGTCTTTAACACAACAAGAACATTTTGAAATGTCAATTTTTTTGATATAGCCTTAAAATTCTAAGTTATCTGAAAAATTAAATACACACAAAAAACAATACATTTTATCTTTTTATATTTACCAAAAAGCTAAAGGTGACAGAGAATACTTTGCATCTTAAAAAAAAAAAAAAAATTGACTCATTCCACAATCTTCACTTTTGACCAAGTAGAAATAGATATCTACAGAAATTATTTATATTTTCATCAATGTGACTTTAGGATATTCACTTTTTTTCTCTGATATCTGAATTTTCTTTTCAGATCAGCATCAATTGTTATTCAGACCAATCCACTATCCTCTGGCAGGGAAATACTCATGTTTAACATTCAGTGTCATACTAATGAGGGGACTCTCGGTCTGCCTATTGTGCCACAGACATTTTAGTAATCATGGCCATTCAATTTGTAGAAGGTTGGCCCCGGTAGCAATAAAAATGCAATTGATCACAGTTGTAATGTGGAGATCAATCAAGGGCAAAGGAAAAAACACTGAAAGCTCACAGACAGGAGCTTTTGATGTTCTGACAGGGACTTGAAGGCTGGAGAGCACTTAAACGGAGCAGATCACAGGTGAGGGAAATTGTGCTGACTGCAGCAGAGGAGGTGGGCTTGGCAGAGAGAAGAACAGATGGACATCAAGCTATAACAAATACAAAAATATTCTGCTACCCTTCCTTAGATCTGCGCTGCGAAAGATGCCTCTGATACAGGTTTACAGCTAACTCTCTTTAATAGCAAATATCCTCGGTCAAAGCATCATCTGTGGGATCTAGTCTCAGAAGGTTTGCTTCATTGCTACTCTCTGCAATAAAGTCAAGTTAAAAGAAAATATTGGAGGGATCATTAATCTGCTGAAGCGTCTCCTGGATGCTCCAGAGCTCAGCTGCAGGTTTCATGACATAACTCAGCTACATTTTTATTTTGCTTTTAAAACAACTAGTTATGTAAACATTTAAACATCAAATCATGTAAATAAAGTGTCAAATATCATCCAACAACTTTAGAGGATCATAGCCGACAACCATTAAATTTGAATTTTTTAAAAGTTTTTTTTACAATTGCTTTTTATCCTAAGATAAGTAATATTTTGTTATACAATGATCCAATTATTTATTTGTATTATGAGTGTTTATTTTGTATCTACAGTTTTTTTTTCTTTAGTATACATATCTAATAATTTTGCAATAAAATGAACCAAGATTCTATTCTATTCGTTTCTGTTCTACTCTAACCAAACAAGCTATCTCTAGATGAAAAGGCAATGTCTTGAGGTATGTTAATTGCTTAATGTTTCCAAGCAACCATACCAACTCTCAGCTTTTGTAATAATTAAGAATAAGTAATTAATAATTAATCTGAAAGTTACTGTAAATATTACATTTACAGTCCTTTTTGTTCAGGTGTATATCCTTGATTTCAACAGATTCTGCCCTACATAATAAAGTAAGCCAATGGTCCCATCAGCTGTTTCAAATGTGCCCATGTTTAAGGCACTTAATTCCCATAGTGCTCCAGAAGACAGTTTTGGAGAACTTAAAGGATCTTTGTTGGCAACCTCCCAATTTAACAAACATGCTGTACTGGAAAAACAATAAACCTGTTCCGTTAAATTTCCCTGGACAAATAAAGATTAAATCAGTCTACAAATGTATTCTTACTGCCTGTGGAAGCACAGGGCCGTCAGCAGTATCCAGAGCATCCACAGGGACACACAACATGGTTACTCATTTTAAAGTTATTTTCAGAAATGTGTGGGTCAACGTCAGCATCTCCTGCCACTCTGACAGAAAAGGCTAGACTTGAGGATACAAGAAGCTGCCAGTCTAAAAGAAAGCCGCCCTGGGCGATCACCTCCCACAGAAGTGGAGCGGCACATTCTTTGACATGTTTTCTTCTTTGAAGCCCCAGGCTTGAAGCTCCAGTCTGTCCTCCTCCTCTTCCTCCTCCACTCTATCGTCTTCCTCAACATCACCCTCCTCATACAAACTGGGCTCCTCCACAGAAGTCTCCATGTTTGGATTGTAACTACCAAACACCTGTGCCTCGCTGTACTCGTAGATGGTGGGAAGGCTGCTGCGTAAACCAAAGCGACGTCGCAGGGCTACAAGCAACGGCTGTGGGACAGTGAATATGTCCAAGTTGTTACCCATGTCTATCCAGGCCAGACAGGGAAACTTTTTGGGGTCCTTGACCATCTCCGTCAGGTCTTTAACTATGGCGGCTGTCAGGCGGTTGCCGTTGACAGCTAGTGTGGTCAATTTGGACATGCAGCTCAAGAAGGGCAGCAGCAGCCGTAAGCTGTCGTCCTGCAGCTCGGTGAAGCTCAGGTCCACAGCAGACACTGCCTCATTACAGGTCTGAAGGTAGAAAGCCACTCGGTGGACGTCCCGTCCAGACAGTGGGATTCCTGACAAGTTCAACACATCACCGGACAGACGCTTCTTCAAAGTGCTCTTCAAACTAAAGAAAAAAAGGAAAAGAAAAAAACACACAGAAAAAGTAAAGCTTAGATCTTTGATGCACAAGAGTATTAAAGGTACTTCATTTCTTCAGTACTGGCAGTGAGTTATCCAAAGACAAGCAATCTTCACTTAATGATAGTGGGATTATTGATTTCAAAGGGTCTGTGATAGAGTGCTGCACAATCCACAAGTACACGACATCTGCAAAGTGTGCAAAAAATAACAGCAAACAGAAGCGAGGGGAGTTAAACAATCAATAATCTGCAGAAGAGAATTTGCATTTAAATGTGTGACTCAGAGCCACTCGCATAACAAATTCTGTCTCCTGCACTGAAAGTCATCTGTAGAGAAGCAGCAGCTGTTTTCTGGCTTGAGCGGCTCCTCTAAGCCAGCTGCAAGATTCAGAAAATGAAGAAAAAAAAACATATTGCAGAATAAGAAATTTAGGCTGAGATGATTTTATTATTAACACACACACAAAAATGTCCACTTTGAAATGGAGTTAAAAACACACATGACTATCATGACACCTTACATAAAAACTTTGATTCTTTACAGTAGAACATCTTTTTGTGATCCAAGAAATCAGTCTGGTGAGAGGGAAAAAGTATTAGGAAAAAAGTAATGAGTAACTAATCATAAAATCTGATTTACTCTTCAGCATTCTGTAATACGATGGGCCAAAATGTAAAGTTCTGGTATTATAAAGAATATAATAAAATAACAAATTAAGATAAACACAAATTGCAATTCGAAGATATGAAACTTAAAAAGACGAAGCATTTTTCCAAACCAATTTTCTAACCACAGTGTCGGTTACCTTTATAATCAAACTGCCATTCACACTAAATGATGGCCGGCCTGGCTAAAATTCAGTCCAGTTTGCAGAAACAGGGCTCTAAAGAACAGATATTCATGTGGGTTCACCCTCTTTCTGGGAGTTCAAGGACAAGAGTTGTCATCTGTGCACATAAATACCCCCTTTTCATCCTGTTACTTCATGTTTTTGTTTGACCATTTTGTTAACTCTAGCCAAATTAGCATAAATTAGGTTAATCTTATTCTAAATTTCACTGGATCGCTTTTCTGACAATTGCTTGACTTTTCCTGTTAGGCTATTGAAATACAGGACCTCCATCGAGGGGCCTCTGTGGCCTCTGGCCAAACTTCCTTCTAGCTGAATTATTAGGTTGATTCTCGGAAACTAAATCCACAAGTGGCTGATTTGAGTATACACACTGATTTAAATACTATGGGTTTCTTGCGGCACCTGAACTGCAGTCAGAGTGAACCCAATGTTTCTAATAGATTTTGTACCACACAGCCATGAGATAAGAGTTCATGAATGAAGCATTGATAATAAGTTTGACAAGAACTCCTGACTTGTAAAGCCTGTTTTTACAGACTGCAAGCTGATTTCCTTTCAGGTCCCAGCCAAAAGGAGGAACTCCTATGACACCTGAGACACCCTGGAGGTCCTCTATATAAAAACCCTAATCCCCAAAATAAATGCTTACAAGTGCACAACATAGAGCCGTACCTGCTTTTTTGTGTCAGTGGCTGGACTCTCATTTTTACTCTGTTTGTAAAGAAAGTTTATTTGTGATTAGTTTGATGCTGTAAGCTTGTTAAGGGCAGTCTTTCACATCAAAAATAAAGTTTCCTTTTCTGTTTATCTTTTATTATTAAAGAGTTCAGGCACCATTCAGGCACAAACTCTTACACTGATGGGGGCCAGCTACATTTTAGCCACAGCTGCCCTGGGGATCACTGACAAAATTAAGGCAGAGTGTGTATAACATCACCCCATGAATGCTGGCATACCATAAAGAATACAACACTAAACAACAGTTTAGTTTGTGCCTTCAAGTCGTTGCCCATAGGAAGACGTTACTTGGATACAACCTAACAGAATATCTTCAGAACGGCTCCAAATGACACAAAACTCATATGGGTGACTAGAACATGATTTAATAACGTAAAATCAAGGGCCCAATGTAAAAGAAAAAAAAACCCCGCATTCCCTTTAAAGTTACCTAGATTTTTGTAAAAGATTAAATGTAGTCAGTTTACTCAACTTGAAATAACTGAATATTTTAAAATAACTATGATCTAAAATGTTTTTCTAACAGGAAACACACATATTTCCTCCAAAATGAGGATTAAACGTTGTTTTTTTTTAAGCAACAGATGTTCAATAAATCTTTCTCCTAGAGGAAATATTTTAAAAGCCTCTTACGCTGGATCATATCTAGCTGCTTCTGCCCACACTGAACTGTCTCTAACAACATAGTCTGCCTAACAGTGGGTGAAATATGTATAGCATAGCTATAAGGCTGCAGAAACTTTATTGTCAGCAATGGCAGCACCATATAAGGCTTCTTTTTTTGGACTTGAGACATCTCAAAGGAAACACATCTGTCAAACAAAAGAAGAAATGTTAGATAGTATCTTTTTAATGGGAGGAAAGTTTTTTATTTTGTGTTTCCTCTCTGACCTGTATGCATTTTCTCGTCCCTCTGCCTCCTCGGCCACAGAAAGGATTATCTCTATCTATTGCTGCTTCCTGCTCTGTCAGGGAGCCTCATAAATTGGGATGCTTTGCTCTTTGCATCTGTCATTCCTTCTGCTTGGTTAAGAAAAAGGAAAAAAAAAATCTCTGGTGCAGCGTGTTGGTGATTTGTGTGATTATTGATTCCATGAGCAGGTTATAATTCAACCATCCCTGCCCGATATTCTATGCGTAACTAAATGCAAGTCCCTTTGAATTTTTATTAAGCCTTTTTTCTTCTTTTTGTCTTGTGTGGTCTGATTGTCTTACAGGGTCTGGACTTAATTTCTGTCAGACAAAAACATACGCTCTCTTATTGTGCAATTTTAAAGACCACAGGGTGTGTGAAGAGAATTCAGATATACAATGCAAGCAGTTTATTTATGTTAAAGGTCCTAAAAAACCTGCCTTCTCCACTTAAAAAAAATACTGCACATGCGTGCGAGAGCGTGCACGAGCCCATTTCTCCTCATGTACGCTCTGTTTACAAGTTGCTGTTTGCAACACTCATACAAGCTTATTTTCTAAAAGCTTAAGTAAACATAACACCAGAATGATTGACAATTAGGAGGACCACTTATTTTGATGATCCACCCGAAAAAAGAACATCCTCCACTATACCTTTAAAACAAACTTAACTTTTAACTCAGATTACTTTTCACTGAACTACATTTCTTTTATATGGCATTAACATCGGAGTGGAAATATGTTCTTATAAAGTTATTTTAGATCATTTTGACACCTGTACATGTAACTTTAAAACACAATGCTGTCTCTTTAATGTAGAAATACTGGGTCTCTGTCATGATGGGTTCACTAAAAGCGACCCAAGAATGCAGAACACCACTAACGGACACAGGGATGAAAGTTTAACAAGTTTATTGATGCACAAGCACAAAGAATGTACTGGTTCTGGTTCGGGGCCTGGATACTGGTTCCCCAGTGTCTGCGTGAGAGACAGCTCAGTTAGCGTTGCCAACAGAGGTTTGATTTCCAGAGGATCACTGATTGTACCTTGAGGGTTCTTGAGGTTAGTTTTGGGAGAGTCACTGTTGAGTCTGGAGAGGAGTTCATCAGCAGAGTCCGTTGCTGCTTCAGCGTCTCACGTCTATAATGAACAGACCTTGGTTTGGGTCTTCCAGCTCTAGTCCAGAGCTGCTTGGAGGTTCTCTGAGATTCTTCAGGTTTGGCTCTGAGGGTCGGCTCGGCAGGTTAGCTCTTCCAGAGCTTTCACAGAGGAGACTCAGGTTTCCTGGAAGACAGAGACAATAATTAGAATCCAGGCTGGATTCAAAGTCAAAGAGTTTCACTGAGGATCTAGGCTTAAGCGCTGACCAACTGGAACAACACTGCGGCGTTGAGGCAAGGTCTGAAGACAGCTTAAGTAGTGGATCCTCTGATGGTCTTGATGAGCTGCAGCTGTGCAGGAGGCTCCCTCAGAGGATCCACGGCGGACTCTGCTGGAGAAGGGTGGAATTTCTCCAGCTCCCAACAGTACCCCCCCCTCAACGACCGCCCCTTGGCGGTCCGGGAGAGGTCGAAGGGCAGGAACGCTCGTACTCCTCGATAAGGGCAGGATCGAGGATGTACGAGCCCGGAACCCACTGGCGATCCTCCGGTCCGTAGCCCTCCCAGTCGACGAGGTACTGCCAACTGCGACCTCGTCGACGGGAGTCCACGATGCGTCGGACAGTGAAGGCCGGATGACCATCGACCTCCAGGGCGGGTGGTGGGGAGTCGGACGGTGGGCACAGAGGGCTCGAGGAGACAGGCTTGACTTGAGACACGTGGAAGGTAGGGTGGATTCGGAGGGACTGAGGTAGTTGGAGACGGATGGCTGAGGGGTTGATGACTCGGGTGATCTTGTAGGGGCCGATGAACCTAGGAGAGAGCTTGAGGGGGATGTCTCGAGTGGATAGCCATACCTCCTGGCCCACAGTGTACTCGGGGGCGGGACGTCTCCTGGAATCGGCAAAGCGTTTGATTGACTGAGAAGACTGGTTGAGGGTGGCGATGGTTTCCCTCCAGATCCTCTGGCAACGGCGGATGTGCTGGTTTACGGACTGGACCGAAATCTCTCTCTCGTCTGCGGGGAAAAGTGGAGGTTGATAGCCGAGACTAACCTGAAACGGGGATTGACCAGTGGATGCAGATCTGAGGGAGTTATGTGCGTATTCGATCCAGGGGAGAAATTGGCTCCAGTCCACGGGGTTGTTCGATGTGAGGTAAGGAAGGGTTGATTCCAACTGCTGGTTCATCCTTTCAGTCTGACCATTAGATTGAGGATGGTAACCAGAGGTGAGAGAGGGTTTGCAGCCGAGAGCAGAACAGAAAGCCTTCCAGACCTGGGAAATGAACTGAGGACCCCGGTCCGAGAGGATCTCTTGGGGAATGCCGTGTAGACGGAAAACATGCTTGATGAGGAGCTGGGCTGTCTGGAAGGCCGA